TTTGCAGGACACCACCCAGGTAATGCTCATGCACCCCATGGGGGCCCAAAACAAACTTTTAGTTTATCTCCAGGGCTGTCTCCAAGGCAGTGTGGAGTCTTCTCCCCATCTGAGTGTGCGTCCGCCAACCCTAACCTCAAGCATTCCCCCAATTAACAGCCAGTTCTCTCTGGAATTCTCAGGCATGGCATGGTGTGAAGGGGAGAGGATCTGCAACTCATTAATTATTAAAGGACAAGATGGCCACTGGTCAATCCTCAGGTAGTCCTCAAGATCTAGAGAACGGAGAAAGGAGATGCACACAAGGAGACTGTCTCTACTGCTGAGCACCCTCATGTCTTCTGGACATGGTCAAGTGAGATTCGCAGCCATCTGGCCATCACCAGCCTGCAATGGATGCACAGCCTTGCTGTGGGCCTGACATGTCCTCACAAGTAGCCACGAGATCTTGGCTTGGCTTGGCTCTGTTCTTGGGGCTAGGACATTTCAGCACATAGGCATGGACCATGTAGTGTCCCTTGGTCCCAGGGCCAGAGAGTGGTCCCAGGCACTGCAGTGCACTTTGTCCAAGCCATAGCCAGGTGCTAGGGAAAAATGCTGCGCTTCTGGCCAGGGCCATGCTTGGCTCTGCCAGGGAGCTGTGCCTGGGAGGTGGACAAGGGCTTGGTTTTCTCCCCACCCTCCAGCCCTGCAGGGATTCCTGCACTGTGCCCAGTGCTGCGCCCAGTTTGGTGGCCCCCAATAAAAGAAAGAGGTAGACTCCAGTGGAGGCCACCAAAATGTTTGGGGCTGGAGCACAGGAAGCATGAGGAGAGGCTGGGAGAGCTGGGTTTCTTCAGCCTGGAGAAGGGAAAGCTTGGGGTGATCTTAGTGCTGTCTGCAGCTACCTAATGGGAGGGTGCAGAGAAGACAGAGTCAAATTCTTCTGAGGTGCATGGTGAGAGGATGATAGGCAATGGGAACAAGCTGGAACATGGGAAATTCCCCTGAGATACTAGGAAAAAATATTCACCATGAGGGTAGTCAACTACTGGAACAGAGGCAGCAGGACCTACGTTCTTGGTGATGCTCAAGCATCAAATGGAAAAGGTCCCCAGCAGCTGGATCTAAATTGCCCCTGCTTTGGACAAAGGGTCGGTCCCTTCAAACCTAAATTATTCTGTGTTTCTATTATGACACACCTGTATGATGCATTGACTTCATTCCCAGGTACTTTAGCTCCATTTCACAAGACTTTCACCTTGGTTGGTTTAGCCTCACAGCTGCTCTGTGTGAGCTCTGCTACAATGGTACACAGTCCTTCCTTTTCAAGGAGTAATTGGGGTTTTCCTTTCTTTCTCCATGTAAGAGCATTCCCTGCCCCTTACAAGCTCCCATCTGCCATGGAAGAGCTCTGGGGCTTGGTGAAGTCTACCTGCTTTGTCAAGGGCTAACCTGAGATCTGATAGGTGCTGTCATCACCTTGTCCTACTGCTGCACCACCCCTGTCCTACTGCTGCACCACCCCAAAAACTGGGCTTGGTGTCACACATGTGTGAATAGCAGAGGGAAGGTTTTGCTTGGAAATACCTTGTCCACATGCCTCAGCAGGCTTCTGCATGGCTTTCCTGAATTTAACCACTGTGTGCACATTTTCACCCGGATCCTGGTTCCTCTTTTGCATCTGACTTCTCCATCTGTCCTGGCCCTGTGGTTCTTTTTTGCACCGTAGAAGAAGAACCTTTCATGAGATACTGAGTGAAACTAAGGCTGTGCAAATCTGAAGAGCAGGTTTCCTCCTGCAGAATCCTTGCCAGGCTCCGGGAAGTCTCAGCTGTGGTGGGGCAAGGCTGAGTCACCCCTCGGAGAATGGCATTTTCCTGGGAAATACAAGAAATCCCCAGCACCCTTACATCTATCCCTCTTGGTGACCATCCACTCTGAGGAAGAAGCAACCCAAGACGCTAAAAAATTGCGGCGGGGCTTCCTGTCACCAATTTTGGGGCCAGCTATCTTCCTCTGGCAGATTCTGCAGCAATTTGTAGACACTTTTAGTTCAGGAGTGTCTGACAAGTTTGAACAGAAAACCCTGCACCACTCTGGGAGCAGTATTGGGCCAGCGAGCCCTTTGATTGCAATCAGTGATTTGGCAAGAATCCCAGGAACTCAAACAAAAATGCTTTGAAGAGGCCAGATGCACAAGGTGTGTCCTTGTGAGCCTGTGGGGTGCGGAGTGGTGATTCATGGCATCACCATGCAATGGTTGGTGTGCGCACATGCAGCCATCAGACCGCAGCTAAGGCCCCTGTCTCCCTCAGATCACCAGATGCCTTTTTTCTCTCCAGTCTTTTGCCAGTCATGCTCCAAATTCAGCACAGTTTCTGTTCCCCTTTCAGCCTTCTCCTATTGCTGTCCCAGTGCCTGCAACCTCCAGACAGAAACGCAGACAGGGAATTTGCTTAAGGTGCTTGTAGATGCAGGGCTTTGGCTGCTGTGTGCCACTCTGGTGCAGCGCTGGGCTTGCTGAGGATGACACTTGCTGTGCCCTGCTAAGTAAGCATCACCATCCTGTGATTCTGAGCAGAAACAGCAGTTTGTATAGAGATGCAACAAACTCCTTTGTTTAAGTATCTTTTGCTCTTTTAGAGGCAGGTTCAAGTATGTTTCAGAAAGCTTGGAGTTTTCTTCCCTTGGTCTAGATGGTGCAAATTCATCCCTAAGAAACTATTGTTTCTTGAAAGCCTTTATCAGCTCCCTGTCCCCAGCTCCACAGCCCAGCTCAGCATTTTGGATGAGTTATGAAACAGGGCAGATGCCAGAGCATAGCATTTGTATTATCCGCCAGTAAATGACTGGATGTGATAAACACTTGGCTCTTCTGTGCGGGGACAGGGTGAGGGCTGTTCCTTGCCGGGGGGTAAATGACATTACAGGTTTGCAAGAGCTGGGCACTTTGTTGTTCAGAAGCCATCTGACGCTGACAGCCTGTCATTGATTTGCGAAAACATCATTTGGCATCGATAACAAGCTTTCAGGAGAAACAGCTAAGGCTTTCAGGAGAAACAAGTAGGACATAGGAAAACAACAATCAGATATTGCTCTGCTGCTCCCTACCCAAACTGGGCAGTGCACAGACTTATCACCGCTGGGTGAAAATGAGCACGGGAACATCAGAAAATCCTCCTCCACGTCATCAGGCATTGGCCCCCCAGTCTTGGGTAGCACTTGCCCCTCATCCTGGCTGGCCTCTTTTGGTCACTGTCTAAATGGCCCAGGCCTGATGGGTGACAGAGGACAGTGAAGCTGCCGCATTCCTTTGATGAGGTGTCAGGAAACTTGGGGGGGGGGGGGGGGACTGAAGGCAATTAGTCCTTAGTTGTTCTAGTTCTGAGTCTCATTAACAAAGTTTGGGGTTCTAGTGCTGGGGTTAGCGAGAGGAGCATCCTGAAGCGATCAGAAGAGGAAGGTGCACAACCTTCATGCTCCCCAGGATCATGCTCTGCTTTTTCCAATATTGCTCCCATTCCTTCGAAAACTGAAAGGCAGTCATATGAGTGTTCACCAGCTGCCAAGAAAACATGGAAATGGAAATGAAGGTAAAGTGTTTCCATGTTTTCTGCTGCTTCCAAGGAGTAACCTAGTGTCCATGAGCTGAAAGCACCAGGCCTATGGCCAGACCCCAAGCACTGATCCTTCATGCTGTGGATTGCTAAGAGAGAGAAACCATGGAAGTTCCCTCCACAGCAACACCCTCCACCTAGCAGCACAGAGTGGCGTGCTTCTCCTGGCCCTTGTCTGGGCCCTGTGCTCATGTAGGCACCCCTGGGACTCAGTGCTGGGGTGGGGGTGGGAGGGCAGCACCGGGAAGTCTCTGTCCTGAGAGCTCTCTCTCCTGGCCAGCTTTGTACCTCTTCTGCTGTCTTGGCCTCCTGTGGCTTGGCAGAAGCTTTGTCAGCATTTTCTGTGACCTAAAACTGGTCACACCAGCACTAAGGTGTCTGGTTCACTGCAAAAGACTCACTGCGGTATGGTTTGGCACTCTTCCCTCCAGTTCAAAACTTAGCATGTAACTTCTGATATTTTCTCCTTGGAGGAGAGCCTGGGTGGCCCTGGAAAGGGAAAGGGTCATGCCACTATGAGCACAGCAGCATCCTGTGGTCAGCGGAGCCCAGGGGATCACTCCAGGACCAAGATTAGGTGTTACACAGGCAATCCTGTGCAATCCCTGGCTTGGCAGGTTTGCCTCTTGTGCAGGCAGAGGAAGCTTTTCACAAATGGAGAGCTGAAACAGATTGACCTGGGAGCATCTCAATAGGGCCAGGGACGGAGTCTGGACCCTCACGCAGGCACAGGAACTGTGGGGAGCATTTGTCCTCATTCATGTGCAAGCTGCCTCTTGTTAACAGGGGCATTCCCAGGCTCGTGGCACTGAAAACCCATTTTAACCCGGTTTAGACTAAGGAAAACAATAAACTACAAGATGAGTAGGCTGTGTGGGAGATCCTCCAGCTGTTTGCCAAGAGCACCATTTCCTACTGAGATCCACAACCCCCACATCTGTGAGCCCGCCATGGTGAAGGGGACAGTGGTGCCTGTCCCAAACTTAGACCCCTCCCAGCTTTGGGTCTAAGGAGGGGGTTCTGCCTGCCAGAACCAGCACTTTCCTCTCAGTCTGTCCATTTCAGCACAGGCTGGAGGAGGCAGAGTTAGGGCGAGGGCAGTGGGGAGCTGCGTGCCCTGCAGTTGCAGCACAGGGGCTGCAAACCAGCCGCGGTGAGGAGCGCGTGGGTGTGTACAGGCAGGGCTGTATATCCAGTCTGGCAGAGGGTGTGCCTGCTCACACGCTGGAGAGCTGAGCCAGGAGCAGGAGTCCTGAGACATCTTCGGCCAGGGGACGTATGGCAAGGAGGGGTTTGGGAGATTAAGCCCAGAACGAGACGTGTTGCTGTTGCCTTGTGTCACGTGCAGTCAGCTGAAGTGCAGTCCCTTCTCCTCCCCAGCCCCACGGTCTGTTTGCAGCCATGCTTCACTCTCCACTGAAAACAGCGCTGGCATATGAATGTTTCCAAGACCAGGCCAGCTCCACACTGGCCTTGCCCTCGGATCACAAGCTGAAAACTAAGGGCACAGGAAAACAGAGGGTCCAAGAGCAAGTGATGATGACGGTGAAACGGCAGAAACAGAAATCGTCTGTGTCATCGAGCATGGGCCACTCCAACCGAGGTAAAATCCCACTGTGCACTGGACAGCAAGGGGTCCCCCTGCGGGAATAGAGCAAATGCTATGGGGTCCTCCTGCTCGAGACTACTTGCTTTTCGGGGGCTTTGTTCATGGGGGACAGACCGGTTCATGTCTCTCGTTACCTGCTGGGTTACCCTGGCTAGGGATGCCAAGGTCTCTTGCACTGGATGGAAGAGTTAGGACAAGACATGGAATTGGAGGCAATGACTCCCTTCCTGGTGTAGGTCTGGGAGAAAAATGAATGTAGATCTCCCAGGAACGCAGTGGGGCTGAACTGACCGGCATCCCTGAGGCACTTGGACATTTCAGTGTGGTGCTATTAACCATTTGTTCCCTGGCGGTAAAGCTGGAGTAGCTTCCTAGCCTTTGTAAATTCTTTCTCTGGGAATGCCCCTGCAGGTTGTCTCCTTGGCCGTATTCCTCCCCTCTTGTGGCTAGCCAAGGCTAACAGCACTTGCCAGGGGACTAGGAGCTGGCCAAGAGCTGTGATTTGGCTGTCACTTCGTTAATATTGCTGCAGATGGAGGACAGGTAGCTCTGCTTATGCAAAGAACACCAACCTGAGCTCAACTCAGGATTCCCCTCTGAAGCTCCCGAGGTGTCCCCAATTTGCAGGCTGCATTGCAGACAAGTGTGGGGGCAGCTGAGTCTTAGGGACAGCCCAGTGTGAGCAGCAGAAAAGAAGAGAGAGAGGATTAGAAAGGTTTTTTTTTTTTCTTGCTGTGGCCTCTTGTTGTGGTTCAGTGGGGTGCTTCGCAGCTCCCTCTGTTTCGCAGATGGGTAGAGTGGGGTGAGGGGATCCAGGCAGCTGGTCCACCACTGTGCAGTGAGTTTGTGCCATAGAAAGCAAGCAATCAGCTGAGTCCCAGAGGTCTGGCTTCCTACTGTAATACCTTCCCTCTTTGGGACAGGGCTTGGCAAATGATTTGCTTCACTGTCCTCCTTGCATCTGGAGAAAACTGCTTTGGAGGTAAATCCTACCCTTCCTCAGCCGTGCAGCCAGGAGCTGCAAACCCAGAGGGTCACAGCAGCCAAGCGCAAAGCCTCCCTGGCTCTCGGAGGTGCTTTCACCAGCTCGGGTTAGTTTCACCAGCTAGTGAGCTCGCTGGCCCAGCTGAGTTCACTGGGAAGAAGAAAGCTTGGGATTTTAGGGGGGAGAGGGGTGCTGCGGCTGGGGCTATGACTGAGCCATTTGGCTGCAGCTGGAGTGAGCAGTGTTTGCTGGAAGGCTGTGTGAGCTGGGCCAGTCTCTGCCAACAATTCTGGGGAAGGTGGCCCTGACTCTGCAATGTCTTGCTGGTAGCTTTCCAGGGCTGGATCACTAGGGAAAATCCAGCGCTGGTGAGGCATCACAGTCCAAATATTTTGAGCCGGTTTGCTGAGGGAAGCAAGGTAGCAATATGCTGCTAGGTGAAGGAATCAAGATGGTGTTCCCCATGGGCCATAGCTGCCCTCCTGGCCATATGCATTGCAATTGCTGAGGCAGAAGGAATAGAGCAGCTTTGTAGAGGAAGGCATATGTGCAGTGGCCCATGATGGGCAGTGATAGGTACAAATCTCTGGCTTTGTTTTTGCTTGTTTGTGGACATAGACTCCTAGGAGTGGGTGGAGGACAGGTGGGTGAAGAGCGCTTTTTTCTGCCACCAAAATGGAAGGCAATGGGAGATGCAAATCTCCTCCTACTTAGAAGGGTTTATTGCTTAAGGTATTAGGGTGCCGGACCTGAGAAAATAAAATACAAATCAAGATGATAGGAGAGGTTCTGGTTGAGGATTGGGCCAGTGCCAGCCTCCCTTTCCAGCAGAGGTTTATTTCAAGGGGAAGCAGGCAGGCAGATGTCTTCTGCTGCCACTCGTAACAGGAAGGAAGAGAAACAGAGGGAGACTGCTGAAGGGAATATTCCCTCTGGAGAGGTGTCCAAATTAAAGCTATTGGGGGGGGGAGGAGGAAGGGGGAGAGCAAATTCCCCAGCTGCCTCTCTCTGCTTTACAAGCCCAAGTTAAATCCCTCCCCCAGACTTTTGGGAACGTCTAGAAGTTGCCTGGAAATGTGCAGATCCAGTTTCTATGTCCCATGGAAGCTGAGTCACATTCAGCTCCCAGCTACTGCCTCCAAACATAGGGCAGAGACGGTTGCATTCCCACAGCAGGGACTCTGGCCAGAACGGAGGTCCCTGATGCCTGCCTTCCTGATCGCACACTTATGTCATGGGCAGGCTAATTTGCCTCTGTGGCTGCTCTCTTAGTGGGGTGCTGGACAGACTCCCAAAAAGGGCAAGAAGTTCCCATTTATTCTCCAGCTTTTCTCCTGGAAACTGAGAGGGTCAGACTGGACTTTCAAGGGGCAGAGAGCTGTCTTGTATGGTTTATTAGTGCCGTTGTTCCAACGGTAAGCTGCATACACCTAGTGAGAAGCAGTCATGTTTCCTACAGATGGGTTACAAGGGACTATTAGAGCTATATGTCTGCCTCTTTGAATGCTCCTCCAATATCTCAGACTTTCTCCTCGAAGACAGCACAAACTAGGGAATTTGCAAAGCCCCTTGAGAAATGTCCTAGTGCATTATTTCTTCTGCATTCAGAAAGCTTCTCACATGTGCCTGGTTAGGTGTCCGTCCAGCTTCAGATGTCATTGTGTTTTGTTATGCAGTTTGGGCAGAGGCTGAAGTGCACAGCAGAGCTTCGCCCAGCTTCAGGAACGTATGTGTCTGTATATGTAGGATGGGGAGCATGGACATGTACCCTGCTTAAATGTAGCAGAGATGGAGTTAACATGTCCTACAACTGGATTTTCTTTAGAGGGCAGCAGACATCCCTCCAATGTCCTGCTATTGATGTCTACATAAAATTAGTTGGTTATTTGCAGTCCAGCACATCAAGGGACTAAATGCCACTGCCTAAGCCACAGAGCATCAACACATCCTCAGCAGGGCACAGTGATCCTGCTGAGGCTGAACTGACGTGCACTGAGGTAAGGCAAGGAGTGGAAACTAACTGCAAGGAGCATAATCCTGCACGGACAAAGGGGCCTTTTCCCAATATAGCACCTATGAGTGTTTCCAAGGATGGCTGTAGAGCACTTGCGTTTCAGGTCTGTGGGCTCTGCCTCAGGGACATTACTTCTCACTGTGAGAATAGCTACCTGGATAGCCCCATCTGATCTGTGAGTAACAAATTTCAAGGGAAAATTAATTTCTTTGACATGGTAGGAGAAAAGGCCAGGCCAAGCTGAACAAAAACCTCCTAGCTAACAGTGATATCTACAAAGACCTCTGGCTAAAGAAAAGTTTTGATGGTGACTTGTCACTGGCTAGTTAGAGTGGCCAGGGAGCAAGGATCTTAGGAAACCTGAACTTAGGAGTGTTGTATCCAGCTGTCTCGCAGTTGAGTTGTGATTAGAGGTTTACTATGCTGGCTGCTGCTGAGAGGAGTGAAATCCTACCTAGCTCTAATTCCTTTGATATGAGGGAAGGGGGGACTTTGTGGAAAGTGAGTGGTTTGAAGACTTCTGTAATCTTCCCCCTGCATGAGATGATTCAGTGAAAGCTGTCCACTCTTCCATAAACCTTGTCTTTCAGAGTATTGTTTACAGAAGCAGAAACCCTTTAGCTCATAGTCCAGAAGCCAAAAATGCACTTCTCTTGTTCTTGAATGAATCCCAGCTTCTCAGATGTGACTAACACTTCTCTCCTAGGAGGCATCCAGACTTTGCTTCATGCTTTCCACAGGCCTTCTTCTCTTCCTACTTCTTTCCTATGTTTAATCATCCTCATTGTTTTAAAAAGTCGTGCATAATTTATTATTTAACTCGTCTAGCCTGCGCTACCACTGACTCGTTCTTGTCTTGCCTTTCCCTGGCATGGATTAATATTTATTAATATGCATCCATTGCCACAAACTGTCTGTTAGCTTTATGTGTCCAGCTGGCGTTTTTTACTGTTGTGCTTGAAAGATGGCCCTGTTAACATAATTCTCCTCCTCCTCATGAGCCTCTTAGCTTTTTGGAGCATAAAGCTGCCTTTGAAGAATCTAAGTAACTCATCAAGAGGAACATATACTGCAGGCAAATTGAGTTAGACCAAAGGCTCATTTGCTCTGCAATGATCAACAATAGCTAAGGAGAGGAAGATGAGGGCATGTATAGGTGCTTACAGTGATTAAGTGCAAGATCTTGCAATCCTTACCTGTTGCAGATAGTCTTTATGAACTGTCTGACTGATTTAAACTTATCAGGTTTTGAAGGAAATGCCATAGTGGTATAACAATTTGGGTATGGAAGAGGTTTTCTATGAGAGCCCAGCCAGAGCCTGGTCAGCCCTCAGGGGTATTTTCTGCCAACAAGCATGATAGCTGGGAGGCTGTGCTTCAGCTGAGTGATTTACATCAACGTTTTCCCTGCCCCTGTCCCCTCTGCTAAAAAAAAAAAAAAAATCTGTCCCCAGTGCTAAAAACATTACGGTTTAAATCGGCTCTGGGTTTAACCAAGTTGAGGTGGGCACTTTACAGACCCAAAGAACTGCTCAGCTGCTGGACACCCGCAGACACTCACACATGCAGACACAGTTAGGAATCAGCACCAAGGAGGCCTCTCCCCCAGAGAGCATTTCCATCCCCTGTAGAATAATTTTTTTTAAGGGTCTGTTTTTCCCCAGGTTCTCAAAATCTGTGGCCAGCTTGTGTGCTCTTTATCCCTGAGCTGACTGAAGACAGGAATATCCTCTCTCTCCCCTAGAGCTGATTATACAGATCCAAGCTGCCTTTCAAGATAAGTCAGGCAGAGAAGTATAAAATTGTAGGTCAATACAAAGCTGATTTTTTCATTAGCCACCTCCATCAGAAGATCCCCAGGTTCTTCCTGGCCTTCAGACTGAGCTCTCCAAACAATAAATCACACTTGCGTGGAGGTGAGAGAAGCACCTTCTCCAACCAGCAGGGTGGTTTCCAAAAGCCTTGAACATGTGAGCCTGTGTAAACTCCTGGTAGTGAAGGCAACTTTCCAGCAACTGAAGAACATAACACTGCATGAACTGCCTAGTTTCTTGAATTTGGACATGTAATGGTGTCATTCATTTATACAAGAAAAAAAAATTCATTTATACAAGAAAATCAGAAGTGTGTCTAAAAGGGCTTATTTTGATGTCTGCTATCTCAATCCAGAAGTCTTTAGTGCTATGCCTGGTAGGAACAGGTCTTAACTGAGCTATGCTTTTCCCCTGAGAGGGAAAAGGGAGATGGAAGATCGGTCAGATTAGCCCATGAGTCATGCTGAAAAACTCATGCGTTAAAGGGAGCTGCTGAACTCACAAACAATGTCAGGAAAATGCTCACAGATGCTTCAGACTGCAGTTATTTGATGTCCCCACAGAACAGGAGACTAATAACAAGAAGTAATTCCAAGGAAATGAATATCATAATATTGTTTTACCTTTCCACTCAGAGCTAGTTTTATTGGGTAACTCTGTCATCTGGTGAAACACCTGGGCCAAAGGTATCATTTCGAGCCCTGCCTTGCTTTTTCTCCAGCCCAGCACTAATGTCCTGATCTGCCCTAAAGATAGTTTCAGGGAAAATCCCAGGATGGGGAAGCACTAGGTGAAGGATGCAGCTGCATAGTATGTCCATTCTGATGTCTGTGGCCATTTCTGTTACTCATAAGGGCAAGTCTTTTGCAGCTTAACACATATGAACCAATAAGGGCTGGAGAGTTATTAATAGGGCTCTTGAAACAATGCTCACTAAGTCTCAAGCGTTTATAGAAAAAGAGCTCTTATGGTTTTCTGCACAAGTATATGTGAGACTATTCTGCTGTTGCTTATTCTGAGTTCAGTGACATTGTTCAGATGCTGTCATCTGTGCAGTGTTGCTCCTCTCTTGTTGACAATAGAAAGCAAATCTTATTATTTATACTGTATCTAAGGGAATGATCTTCCTGAGAAAATGCAAGAATTTTAGCCACGCACCGAATCAACATAACAGGTTCTGGATGCCTAAGGCAAGGCAGTAAATTAGATATATTCCAAGGCTCATTGGCTGTAGAAGACCTGAGTGGCTTCAGGGCCTTTGTGGTAGAGCTTATCCGGTTTATCTAAGAGATGAGTCTTATCAAACAGTCAAAGACATTAGGATATTTCTGACATAACCCACCAGTTTAGGTGCATAACTTGAGACAGGTAAGTCCTGATTTTGTAGGTTGTTAGACACTCAGAGCTTCCCCTGGAAGTTAATTGGAGTGTAGGGTTTGTACTTCCTCATAACGGGACTTGGGATCCCACAATTATTGAGCACTTTTGAAAATGAACCTTAAATGACCTTAAACCCTTTTGGACCATCTGAATGGAATTCCAGCTTGGAAAAAGAATGAGCCTCTCAGTTTTTGCTTGTAGTGTTGAATGCAGCCTTGAGTAAAATACTTTCAGGAAAGTTCCAAAGATTGCACTCCCAAGATCTGCTGGAAAGAGTCCTCCAGAAGAGGTTTTGGTATGCCTGGGAGAGTTGGCTCCAGACACTCTGATTAAAGCGCTGAGAAATAGTAATGGCAGAGGGGTTCCTCCTGATCCAAGAATTTTGCATCTTTGCAAGACATACCTGACATCTAGTCCCACATATCTCCCCACCTTCCCATAAATGATGATCGAGCTTAATACTTTCCAGAAAAAGAAGTAGAAATACACAAAGTGATCTTTTAGAGACTAGACATGGAAATTTAAGCCAGTAATATTAGGGTTTAAGTGTTTGACTCATTTAGATCCCCAGGTGTTAAATAGACTTGATCATTTACTGATCATATTTGTTATTCACAATTTACTGAATTTATCAAAGCTTGCTCATAAAACTTGTGTTGATGTGTTTAGTATTCTTCAGACCAGGAAGGCAATTTCTCTCCAGCCAGACTGGCAAGAGGTTGGAGGGTAGGTTTTTTTCCTTCAGAGAAAGAGCAATATCTATTTACCTCCAACTCAATAAGAGAGGTGGGCTCCAGGTTCAGTGCTTCCTGGATGCGTAGCACAGAATATCATCTCATTCCTCTCATATAGCAAAGACCTAAGATACTGGCTGTGCCTTTGACCTTTGGATGTGCCTTTGGCCTTTTTTTTTTTTTTTGGTGCTGAAGACCTTAAGCTGTCACTCACAGTCTGTGGACTGGAATTTCTAAGAGCCCTTCTGAAGTATACATCTTCTATGAGTTGCCTGCATTGGCAAAGCTAAACTCACTGACTTACTTTTCTATGTTCCTGTTAAGTTCTATAACTCCATCATTCTTCAGTAACGAGCAAAAATCTAGATTCATCTAGACTCATTGGAGAAAAAGAGCTTTATGCTCTGGAGGAGCACATGCAGGGACCACTTTCTCCTATTGACAGTGTTTTTTCATTTACAGGTTCCATGTACGATGGTCTAGCTGATGGTTATGGCTATGGGACATCCCGGGGCAGCTATTATGCCAAAACCCAAACAGGAAACAGCAGCTGGGGATATCCGGTAAGATGTACTTTTATCTGGGAACTGTGGTATACTCTTGAGGCAATGTGGATGGAAAGCAGCCTCCAACAGAAGAAGTCATGTAGTAAGCTAACAGCACTTTGGAAACACGAGTGAAAGATTATCCATAGCTATGTCTATTTTAGCAAGTAATTCAGTGCAATAGGAGAGGATCAGTAGATCGCAGCAACTAGCATAGAGAACACAATATCTATACTGTATGTAGTTGGGAATTTTACTGTGGATAAGATATAGTTTGGTCTGCTGGGCTCAATATCCCCACAACACAAAAGATTTGAAACTGTCTGAAGGATCAGTCATGCGGGTCAGATTCTTATATCTCAGTTAAAGTTTGCACATCCATCACTCGCTTAGAGTTTCCAGTTTTGTTTCCTCCAAAAGGAATCTGTTCACATGCATCCAAAACTGCTGTGTCTACAACACTGGTGTGGTTCAGAGGGATGATCAGGGGATTTGCCTCCTAATTGTGTTGCTGTTCCAAATCTAAATGCTAATGCACGCTCTGTTATGATATTCTCTGAGCTTGGAAAAGATGTGCTCCACTTCTCCCATGGTGATTTCTAAAGAAATATTATAGATTGTCAGAAAAATCATGAGTAAGATTGTGCTTGTCTTTGCACAGTCTGAGCTTATGCATTCCACAGAGGTCCTGGTCTTGTCCTTGATGACAGACTCTCAGGGCGTTGAGAATCATCAGTTCTCCAAACCACTGCAACATCTGTTGAGGCAACTTGTCCTTGTGTTGTCCTGCCACCCTGGGCCTGTATAATGTTCTTTCTTGGTCCCCATCAGCTGTAATGTAGAAAGGAGAGCTCACCGATCTGAGATTTTAATATGGGAAAAAGAAAAGGCTCCTTTCAACCACCTTGGACTGACTATCTTTAGGAGCTATAAAGCAGTTCTCCTTTTACCATCAAAGGCTTGAACCAGGCAAGGTGTTTATGTTGGCTTCAAGCACAGAGACAGAGCATTGGTGCTTTTCCTGTTAATTGCCAACTCCTCTCCCTGTTCATAGCATCAGCATTCATCAGCTACAGAAAGATTAGTCTGTCGTCTTTCTTAATGGCCATTGTGTAGCACGCTTGCTTCAAGGCAGCAATAATGTCACTTGCTAGGTTTGCATCGCTATGTTAGCTGCCTACTTCCGGCATTTTCAGTAGGAAGGACTGGAAGCACTGGCATGTCTTTGAAATTTTTATCTGCAGTCTATCTGTCAACTTATTTCACTGTACTTTGTTGAGCTGGTTAAATCCCAGGCAGTGGTGTAAGACCAAAAGAGTGACTGTGGTGGATCAGAGCAAAGGTCTATCTAGCTAAATGTCCGGTCACCGTCACTAAGGCAGTGATGGACCCCTGCAGAAGGGTCTGAGAAGGGCAAGCAGGCAGGGAGACTTCTCAATATTTTCCTGTCCACCAGCAAATTGCAGCTGACTCCTCCTGAGGTGGAGCCACCACTAAGTGGATGTCACAAATCTCTCCAACATTTCTGTTACTGAGGAGTGCTTCATGAGTAAAAGGACTGTGGTGGGGTTCTTGTGGTGGGGGAAGAATTATTGTCACTTTTTTATTGTGCCTTCTGAAAGGAGTTTGCTATGCTTTGTCTAAGCAAAGCCATTCTGTTCTAGCCATTCCAGTAGTCTCTAGCTATTTTACTTAAACAGGGTAGAAGATAAGTCCCAGCTCTGCAGTTGGCCCTCCAGCTCATGCTACAGTACTGGCAACACGACACTGCAGAGAGCGTCGCTGGTTTCTGAACTGTTTTTTCTTTTTGTTAATTCCTGATCTTCTCCCCAGTTACTGCAACAGTTGGACAAATGTTGGATAGGTAGAAATGCCAACTGCCTGCTGGAGATTTCAGTCCAGCACTGTTTTGGGGAATATCTCACAAGATGATTATGAAGATCAGGGCCTCTACTAGACATAGAGGACAGTGCACATGCCAGTTCAGTCGTTTCTGGTTCATCACTGACTTATGCATGCAGTTTATGGCTTTTCTCTGAAGGGTTTTTCTGCATTTACTGATCAGGGAAGGTCTTTCTTCAAACCTAAGTATCTTGTTTTGGTAAAGCGCTTCAGGACCTGGCTGCTTTATTAAAAGGTAATGGTGTTCATTGCCGATTTACAGTAAAATTCATCTTACCTAACTTTGTCTATCCGAAAATCTGCAATTTGGTCTTAACAAGTTGTCTAGACTCCTCCCATGGCCAACAAAGAGAGAGGTACCAGGAGGTGATTCATCTCCCTATTTTGGAGATCTGTTAGGTCAGGATGAATCAGCCCCTCTGGATGCCTATCTCCTTCCACTGATAACTAGACTGGAGCAGACACCTAACAGATGGATGGCTGCAGTTGGGGACAATGAGTCCCAAGTGCCATTGGCACACTGGAACATAGAACCTCAAGCCTAAATCTGCTTAACAAGCTTAATAGACATCATACTCCCCAACTGCACTGAGAAACCTCTTCCGTTTTGCTTCTTCCAGAAAAGTGTTAAAGGTTTACAAACACCCACCACTACCACCTTCCAGCTTCAGTTAACTTTAAGCTTTGTCTACAGGCTCATTTGAAATCCATGCAGATTCTAGACATTTTTAAAATGTGTTTGCATTTGTAACCTCTGTTTTGTAAGCCATGGAAAGGAAGACAAAAAAGTCTGTCTTTGAAGACAAAATTGCTAGACTTCTTTCCTGATGCTGTGATTGTTTCTGAAAAGTCCCAATGGCCTTCAAGATACATGGTCAGGGAAATGATCCAGTATAATATTCAGTGAAATTTCTTACTCTTAATACTTCTGGAGTTAAAAAATATAATAGGCAATCTACGTCCGTGTTCTGCAAAAGGAAATAGTTGCTCTAAAGCACCTGCAACACTTTTCTTACCAGTGCATTGCCTTAGATTTTGACTCTAAATGACATCTTTTTGCAAGAAGGTGTGTCACCTACCCTGCTTCACCCTTCACCTTCACCAAGAAACTATTATTCCTGATTTTTCCCTTTTGTCTGGTCTTGTGTCTTCCTGGAAATCTGAAGTTTTTACTTTTGAGCTTTCTCCCCTACCTCATGAGATGCTGGTGTTCAAAAAAAAAAAACTGTGCAAACTGTTCAAAAAAAAAAAACAGAGAGTTGTCAGCTCTCTTTGAGTTCATCAACAGTCCTAAGTAAAACCTTTGATTTACTCATTATTAAAAATGACTTTCTGACTACTTCTATTGTGGAGTGTCTTATTAGAAGCATTACTGTAACTAGTATTACAATGAGTAACTACTCATTACCAGTTTAGGTAACACCGAAATCAATGTGTTTGCTCCAGGAACAGACACTCCTTCCCATCTTCAAGGATAGCAGAGTTGGTCCCCATTGTTTGGCTGCACCATTTCTTTGGCTCACATGACAGAGTTTGACTCAACCTTCGGGGATAAAGTTCCCAGTTGTGTCTGCATATTGACCTCAGCAGGAGGCAGTAATGGGTACATTAGTGATAGCAAGCCTCTCTGTGTTAAGTGGTCTTTCCTGGTTAGTTTCAGTCAGGTATTGCTGAGCCTGGAGGATCTTTCGTGACATTTATCACCATGCTGACAATGTGAATTAAAAGTGGTCACTAGTTCTCAGAGTCATCAGACCACCAGGAATTTGCTATGCCATGGCCTAATGTGAAGGCCTGAGTGGTGCCTGAGGTTAAAGTGGTGACCACAGTTCATGCAAATGAACTTGAGGGAGCTTTATGTGATCTAAACTGGGTATGCAGACAGGGCAGTTGTGGCAAGAGAGGTCTCAGCATGAGCTGTACCCTTGGCTCCAACCTCTCCCCACTGCCCCATGCATTGGCATTTATTCAGCACCAGGCTCAAAGCCGCTGTCACAGTCCACTGGCCTGTAGCCAGTGTAGTCATGTAACCACGTAGTCAAAGCCCAATACAGAGAACATCAAGGAATGGCAGGAAGCATGCTGTGAGCACAGCAGACCTTCTGAGGCTTTTTTCCCATCTGCAACAATTTTGCTTTATGTCTGGGTCTAAAGGCTTTGCAGATCTGGCCACCATCCTCACTAGAGAATCAGGAGGGGGTTCCCAAGTTCTGTGTATGCCTTGGCACTGTCTGGATGGTGCAGTATTGGGACAAGTTGCAGAAGCCTGACAGCCTCCTTCAATGCTGCGGCATCCACATGAGGGAAATCTGCAGGCGTGGTCTGGGTGGAAGTGGCAGCTTGTTTCTCCAGGCACTGCCCTGAACAAGGGGAGACCAGGTCCTTGGCACACTGGGCGTACATCAGTAGGAAAGTAGGTTCATCTCTGATGTTAGGGCACTCTGCTTCCGACCACATGAGCAGATCTTCATCCCCAAAGAGCTTACTCAGCCTGTGGGCTTGTAGCTATTGCAAGTAACATTTCCAGGAGCAGCTCAGCTCCCAGGCCAAGGAGTATTTGGCATATCAGACGTTGCTGCTATTGAGGCAGTAACTGAGTTGGTTCCTGATACAAATAACAGTTGGGCGCCGCTGGCTACTGGGTCACTAGTGCTCATCATTGCTTTCTTCAGTCATCACAGCTAGGGTCTCAGCCTAAGTGCTGCAGGGACCAACCTAGCCAGGCTTCTGGAGCAATTGTGTCCATTTTGACATGAATGAAATATATGCACTTTGTTGACCCCTATGCAGTAGAGACTGTATGTAGATTCCCAAACAAATTTTCTCTGTGGGAGCAAGTTGCAGAGCTTTCTTGTCCAAATGCATTAATTATCTCTAGGAGAAAAGTTCACCAGTAGAAATGCCTGCCTGTAGCCCAGTCCTGTTCAAACAGATGAGAATGCTCCCTGCTATCCTCGAGCTGTTATCACCTCTGCAGACAAAAATCTCTCAATTTAAGTGGGAGCTTTGTCCTGTAAGGACTTCAGGATAAAATTTGTGTGTAAAATTTACTGTAATGACACACTGAAATAGTAATAAAAAAGGAATGCAATGAGTAGCCTTATTAAAGTAAAAAA